CCCCCTTTACCCTCTTCCACCTCCGCCACCCCCTTTTGTTCCTGTAATCACTATAGTGATGTCTGTGTCTATGCGTTGTTGTATATCTTTGCTTAATACCTTCACCCTCTGACCCAGACCAAACGCTTTCCCCTCTCACCACTGTCAGTCTGTTTTCTTCCTATGATTCTGTTTCTTTTTTCTTTGTTAATTTATTTTCCTCATTAGATTCCACATGTATGTAAAATCATATGGTATTAGTCTTTCTCTGACTGGCTGATTTCACTTACCATAATGCTGTCCAGGTCCATCCACACTTTCACGAATAGTTAAGATTCCCTTCTATACACAGCCAAGTAGTACTCCCTTGTGTCAATGTACCAAAGCATTTTTATCCACTCATCTATTGATGGGCACATGGGTTGCTTACGAATCTTGGTATTCTAAATCATACTGCAATGAACATAGGAGAGCATATATTTTTTCAAATCAGTGTCTCTGATTTCATAGCAAACATTCCCAGAAGTGGAATCCCTGTGTTGCATAGAAGTTCCATTCTTAATTTGTTGGGGTAACAACTTACTACTTTCCACAGTGGCTTTCCTAAAAGCATTCGACCCCACAGGTGCCCGTCTCTGAACCTGCACACAATGGTGCCTTCCCACACAAAATCCCTGGCTTCTCTTAAGAGGCCTGTGGCTAGAAAAGGGGGAATCAAGACTTGCCCAGAGTTTCTCAAGGGGCCTTACACCCCAGGATCTTCTCAACACTGTGTGTCCAGAGGCCTCCAGGGAGCTGGAATTCAGGTAGCCTGAAGGTCCCACCATGGATCTGTTTGAAGACCTAGCCTTCTTTTCCTTTCTCTTTTTGGCATAGTTTTATCACAGTGAAATTTACCATTCTCACTGTTTTCCAGTGCACAGTTCAGTGGTGTTAAGCATATTCATACTGTTGTGCCGCTCACACCAGCATCATCTCCATCACTTTTCCCATCTTCTAAAACCAAAACACTGTCCCCACTAAACAACACTCTATCCCTCAACCCAGTCCCACCACCACTGGTACCTCCATCTTGCCTTCCGTCTCTGACACCGATGGTCCTAGGGAACTCATGAGAGTGGAATCACACAGTAGTTATCTTCTTTTGACTGGCTTTGCACTGAACATAACTTCTTCAAGGTCCATCCACATAGTAGCTTCTGTCAAAATGTTCTTTCCGTTTTGTTAATTGAATCAATTGGGTTGACACAGGTTAATAAGGTCATGTAGGCTTCAGTTGTACAAGTCTATAACCCATCATCTGTATATTGTACTGTGTGTTCACCACCCCAAA